CCCGCCGGCTGCCGGCAGGTCATCGAAGGGGCTTGGCATGGTGCTGCCAGGGCCGTCCCCCTCCGGCAGCCGGCAGTGGACCCTCTTGTTGCGGAGGGTCTTGCCCCGTGAGATGGGCTCTGTCTTCCCCAGCGTGTTTTCAGGGGTGAGTTGCTGATTCATCGTGACCGATGGGGCAGATTCGGCATCAGCCACCTCTGCATGGGATGTCTCCCCTCCACCACTTTCCTCCTCAGGCTGGATGTGGGGCAGGGAGGACTTGAACCAGCTCTTCACCTTGGTCTCTGTGCCCACAGCAGGGCCCAGCAGGATGACCGACTGGCCGGAGAGGCGCGCAGCTGGAGCCGAGCTCTCCTTTTCCACCGTGCTGATGGTCTCCTCAGCAGACACGGGCACCTCACTGGAGGACAGCACAGCAGGCATCTCTGGGGGCTTGGGTGGCGAGGCGTCATATGTCACCGACTTCTGCTCTGAGCCGGCCAGCTCGCAGAGCGAGGAGTACTCCTCCGCCTCCAGGTCCGACTCCTTCAGCTCCGGTGAGGAGATGATGGGGATCTCACTGAAGTCCCCCGTTGAGCAGCAGTGCCGAGTGTCCTGCAGCCACCTCTCGCTGTCCGCCTTTGCCGCTTCATCGTAGGTTAGCGTCTCCTCCTCCTCCTCCTCCATTGCCTGCTGGCCAAAGTCCCGGGCCGGCTCGCTCTTGGCCGGCTGCTCGCCATCACAGAGATCCAAGCCACAGGCATTTTTTTTCTCCTTGCAGGAGCCCACCAATTTGTTGGGGAACAAGCTTTTGGGGAGGTCGGTGGCTTGCAGATCCTTCCACCGCAGGCACGCCTCACCCAGGCTCTCCTCCGGCCACTCGAAGTGCTCCATGGCATTCTCAGACCCCACTGAGTTGGTGGTCGTGTTCGAGTAGCAGCTGTAGCTGGCGGCCCCCGCGCTCGATGTCGCCACTGGGATGCTGGGCTTGGAGTTGAAGGTCAGCGGGGCAGCATCCTTCAGTGCGTCCTTATTTTCAGCAGCCGCAAACTCCACCTGGGGACCCTCATACACCTCCTCACCAAAGTCCTTCCCTGTGCTGGCCCCTGAAGCCTTGTCCATCTTGAGGGGCTCAGTGAGCGTGCTGGAGTCACCCTGGCTGGGCCAGGTGCCCTTCACCATAGAGTCCAGGCAGGGCCGGTGGTTCTCCAGCTGGAAGGGTGACTTGGTGGCCTCCTTGCTCAGCATGGGTGAGTTGGCCCAGGCTTTGTCTGCCTTCTCGTTGATGGCGTCCTGCAGGACAATGATCTCGGAAGCCAGCTCCTCCTGGGACAGAGCGCTGAGGAGCAGCCGGGGACAGTCCCGTTCGTTGGTCACATACTTGGTGAAGCTCTCCAGGGGCAGGCTGGCGTGGATGCTCTGGAAGGAGTCGTCCGATTTGGTGGACATGTCATCTGGGGAGGTCACGGAGCAGGTGGACACTGACTCGGGCTTCGCCTTGGAGTTGCTGTTGACGCGGGCAGGGCTGCGGTTCTGGTTGCAGTACAGGAAACTCCTCTCCAGCTGGTCCTCTGACCCGCTGAGATAGTCGGCATCCTGCGTCTCGGCATGGACGGACTGGGGGGTGCTGAGTGGGTCGGACAGGGGGGTCCCCACCTGCTCTGCCGAGTAGGTGCTACTCTCAGGGCTGCAGTGCTGCCCCTTGAGCTGCTCGGGGGTCCTCGCCGGGTTCTTGATGCCTTTTTTCTGGGGCACGGCTGCTTTGGAGAGCAGCAGCTGCTGGACGGTGTTGGAGATGTTCTCCACCTGGGAGGTAAGCGCCGTCAGGCTCTGCAGGCTCAGGTCCGACAGCAGGTTTTCGGGCAGCTTCTCCTTCTGCAAGTTTTTGCAGTTCCCGGATTGTGCATCGGGGCTCGTCCCATCGGTGGGAGAAGGGTTCAGCA